GGGTGCCCTGGGGGGTGACCGACAGAGCTGGCCACTGTCCTTGCTCTGCAGTGCCTCTGTGGAGATGAGAGGAGGCGGAAGAGGGCTTGCCTCAGCCTGAGTCCTGCTGGACAATACCACCTTGAACCTTGGGGCAGGAAACCCTGTCTCAGCATAACCAGGGCTTTGTTTCTGCCACATCACGTCCCTCATCTGGAGGCACAGGGCCCAGAGGGATGAGCAGAGCTGGTACCCAGCCTATGGCTTCAGGGCCAGGCCTGGGAGAGAGAACTTGCTATTCCCTCCCCTAACCCCCAAAATAGGCAAAAGGGACCCTGGAATCTTAGACAAAACCCCCACCATCCCAGGCGGCTTCAGGATGGGCCTGGAGTTCAGGTCCAATCACAGATTCATCACCTTCGGAACTGGAAATGGCCTTCAAGCTCAGCAAAGACCAGCAAGCCCCAACCAGAGAGCACAAAAGACTTGTTCCATGTTAAACAGGACAGAAGCAGAGGAGCAGATGGACTTCCCTGGAGGTCCAGTGGTTAAGACTCCGTGCTTCCAATGCAGGGGGTGCATGTTCAATCCCTGGTTGGGGAATTAAGATTTCACATGTTGCATGGTGCAGCCAAAAAAAATTAAAAAAAAAAAAAGAAGCAGCAGCAGCAGAGGAGCAGAGACTAGACCCAGGTCCAGCACCCTGACCGAAGTCCATACTGACTCTCCCGGTAGTCTCTGGGAGCTCCTTCTTCTCTGCACCACCCCCCAACCCTCCACCTCCCTTCTCACCAGATCGTCGCCCCTGCCCCCATTCCTGGAGGAGTTGGGGGTGGGATTACACACAGGCCCAGCCCTAGAGGCCGGGGATCTGCATGGACTGAGAAGCTGCCGGAAGTTGCCAACCAACCCATCAGATCACTCAATCAACACCACAGACCAAGCACCCACCATGTGTCCAGCATTTGGGGTGTGGCAGGGAGGAGAGAGATGCTGACGTGGTCTCTGACCTTGGAACTTATCACTTGACCCTGGGGAGAAAACTAAGGCCGGAAAGACAGTACAGCGCAGCAGGAAACCTGGGATGCTCGGCCCGCAGGATGCGGCTGGCATTTCCTCCGTGCCGGTGAGGCACACCTGCCCCAAGGTTGCCAAGAGCCAGAATCACCAGGCCTGGTCAGCACAGAGCACAGACTCCCACCAACCCCTCCAGGCAGTGGGTTCCTTCCTCCACCCAGGCCTCCTTCCTCTCTCCTTGGCCCAACTCCATCCCAGGTATCATCGTCACATACCTGAATTGGCCAGGAAATATTATTGGCCAATGCCACGCCTCAACTTGCAGTGATTCCCAAATCTGACTGAACACGAGAATCCCCATACAGATTCCCGGGCCCTGCTCTGACCCACTTCGTCAGCATTGCCCAGAACAAGCCTGATGGTGGGGAGGTTTTACAAGCTCCCAGGGGATTCTGGTGTCCAGCCAGGCTGGGGACCAAGAGGCAGCTGTGGGAGGGAAGGGAGGGGAAGGAGACTCCAGGGAGCCTGAGGGGAGAGTGGAGGTCGCTGCAAAGTCCCCAGCCACTGATGGCAGCCACAGTTACAGGCTTCAGGGCAGGATGAAGAAAGAAAGGAGCCACATGAGCCAGGACAGAGCAGGCTGGAGTCGGGCCAGCAGGGGCCAGATACTAGGCAAGTCGTTCCTCCCCTCTGAGCCTCAGTTTCCTTCTCTGGGAAATGGGAATGGCAGCACCACTTCACAGGCACAGAGAGGTGAAATAAATAAAGCAGCTGTCACAGACTGGTGGCTGTCACTGCATTTATCTTCAGTTATTTATAAAGCACCTACTATGTGCCACACACTGTGTGGACACTCAGATGCAAAGAACGAGACAGAGAGGCCCTCAGGGCAGAATGTCTGGAGGAGGTAGAGACGTCCCCAACACTGAGTGTTCAGGCCATAATGGGGGTTAGGGGGCCTGCAGGGAGGGGACAGTCTCTCTGGGAGTGAACAAATGGCCCCCAGGCAGGCTCTGGCCCCGTGCCTGGTCCCAGGATCTAGGTGAGTCTGTGAGTGCCTTACCCACCTTAGGCGGTCCTCTGCCACAGTGTTGGATCTCCCCCTTCCAAGGCAGGGCCTCTCGCAGCCCCTCACAATGGTCTGCACAACCAGGGGCCCTCAGGGGAGCCTGTGGCTGGGTTAAGCTGGGTGACAGTCTGGACTCTACCTGGGGGCTGAACTGTTCTGGCCCTGGTCCCTCTGTTCCCCCCAGCCCCCCAAAGCCTGGGTGGTACAGGAGAGCACACTACATAAGGGCTGAGGGAGGATTGTCAGGCATTGCTATTGTGCCCGGCTTACCACTCCTAGACTGGGGTCCCTCAGGGTCCCTCCGAACCAGGGCCTGGGTCTCTTGCTTCCCCCGGGCCCAGTGCAGACCCAGGCACAGAGCGACGCAGTGCTGTGGACAGTGTTACTGCCATGTCATTTCTCTGCAGAAAGCACCGTCAGGTCATCCTTCCAGAGTGTGGGCGAGGCGGAGGAAGAGTCACAGGGGCTGACTACCCGTGGCCGGCCCGAGCCTGGGCATCAGGTGTGTGTGTCCATCGTACGAGTGTGGGTGAGGCGGCACCCAGGGGAGGTACAGACTGGCTCACTGAAACATCTGGTACAGCAGGTGGGTGGGTGTGGATGAATGTGCATCCCTTGGAGAGTCCCACAGCTGGGTCCCCCAGTCCAGCCGCAGGCACATGGCCCAGCAGCCTGGGTCAGCGTGGTGTGTCTGGACAAAGCCATACCATCCCCAAGGGGACCACAGGCCTCCACCCCCAGGCACTCCTCCCTGCGGCCCCCACCTGCCCAGGCCTGGGCTGAGCACTCCTGGAAAGGGCGGGGCTTTCCCTCTCTGGGCCCAGCACTCTGCCCTGTGGACCTCCAGCCCCGGCACCGCAGCCACTGCTCTCCTGGTGCAGCTCCCAGGACACCTGGCTGCTCCCCCATTGTGGCCTCCTGACCACCCACCCACTCGCTTTGTGGGCAGGGGCTTCTCCCCCTGCAGAAGGGTGAAGTCCGGGGCTGCCTCTCCCAGCCCCACACTCTGACCCCTCCTCACTCACCCCATCAGTAAAAATGCACCCCCAGAGTCTGCGGGGAGAGAGGGCCCTGCCTAAGAGCCTGGGGTTGGGCAGGGGGTGGGGCTCTGGCCGCTTTCCCAGCGTAGCTGCCTCCCCTCCCACGCCCTACTCCACCCCTGACATGCCAGGCTCCATACAGGGGCTGAGTCACTGCTCCTCAGAGCCTCAGGGTCCCCATCCACATAATGGGGCACCTCTTCCCGGACCCTCCCCTCTTCCTGGGACTGTTGTTCAGGTAAATGAGATCACCCCCAGACGGACCATCCTCAGCCCAGGGCTGGTTCTCCCGGTTGTGGCTGGATGTACGGTGGGGGCCTGGTGGGTACGGTGTCTCCCTCCCTCCTGCCCTCCATCCCCACCCTGATTGTTTCCCAGGCAGCTGAGAGATGCCAGCCCCTGCAGGAGCGGAGCCCACGCTCCCAGCCTGCTTTGATTCCGGCATTTGCCTCTGCAGACACGGGCCCTGGACTGCAGCCTGTCGTCCCTGCCATGGAAAGGAATTCACTGTCTTCCCTGTCCCTGGGATCGGGGCCGGAAGGGCCGTTAGCTGCGGCTCATCTCACCCCTCCTTTACTGTGGCTTCTGAGATCCAGAGAGGGCCTGTGACCTGCCCAAAGTCCTCACACCCCGCTGCCCACGTCATAGACAGTGCTCATGCCACTGCCCCACCTGCTTCTCCCGGGCCTCCGCTGGTCCCAAGCCTCCACCACGCTGGGCCTCTGGGGTCTCTGGCTGCTTCTGTCCCCTCCCTGCCCCAGCCGCGCCCTCAGTCTCCAGGCACCAGGAGAGAGCACGTGTTTGGAGGGGGCCTGTCAGTGAACCCAGGTGAGGGCATCCCTCCTCCCGTTAACACCTTCCACCCACCCCCACTTCTTGAAGAAAACCAGGAAATCAGACCCACCTGGCCCAGTGGTTTCCAGATTTACTCAAAGAAAGACTTCCGGGGCTCCTCTCCTGCTGGCTTAGCGCCTGGCCATGGAGTGACAGGGGCCAGGCTGGAGGGTGTTGGAGCGGCTGGGGCAGGACGGCCCCTCCCCCTTTCCCAGGAGGCAGCTTCCCACCTCCCTGACCTCCAAGCTGCTGGAACCAAGAGGGGACGAACTGCCAGGGAGGGCAGTGCTGCCCCCTGGCACGACCTCCCCTGAACGCCCCATCCTGAGCTCACCATTTGAAGACATATCCCTGGGAGAGGCCCCACCCTCTCTCCCACACCTGCCTTCTCTGGAAGCACAGGTCTCAGCTCACATTCCTGGGGTTGAGACCATGGGAGCATCCGGACCCACAAACCCCTCCTAGGGGTTTCCTGAGACTCACACAGGAGCCTGGGCCCTAATCACCCAGCCTGCCTCCCCGCCTTCCATCCTCCATCCCCCCCTTCAGGAGGATCCTGATTTCTGCCCTGGCCTGCCTCCCTGCCCCCTCCCCACCTTGTCCCCTCTTAGAGGAGGACACAGCCCCCAGGACTGTGCGGGGCAACCAAGAGGATGCTTTAGCCCTGCGTCTCTGGTTCCTGAGACCTTCTTGTCCATTTATGGATGAGAAAATGAGGCTCAGTGAGGGGAAGGCACTGCCCAAGGTCATGGACCCAATTACAGGCCAAGAAGAGGACACCTAAGACACCCGCCCCTGACACGCTGACGTCAACCTGGGTCTGGCACTGCCTGGACCACCCTCCCAGGGATCACCAGCCCTTGGGAGATAAAAAGCAACCCCCACCCCTCGAGTTCTGCCCAGACCTAGTCTTCACCCTGCTCTAAGATGACCCCTGACCTCCAAGTCAACAACAGTGGGTGTCCACGGACTCCTCCCCCTGCCTCCATTCGCCCCCCCCACCGGTTCCTCCCTTCCGCGCTAGGGCCACGTCAGTGGCCACAACCAGAGAGCATTCCATGTATCAGTCAACGAGATTTATTGGTCAGGGAGGGGGGATGGGAAAGGGACTGAAGCTGGGTGCTGGGGCTGCGGGGGCTGCGGAGCCAATGGGAGGCCCCAGAGGGGCTGGCAGGGGGAGCAGAGTCCTCACTGGCTGGCCTGGTGGACCTGCTCGCGGGAGGAGATGACCCTGCCATCCTGGACTTCTTCCACAATGGTGCGCACCTGGCGCGTGGTCACAGCTGCAGGAGACAGACACTCAGGGTGGGCGGGGCCCAAGAGGTCCTGGCCCAGCCCCCAGCCCCCTGAGTGGAGCCGGCTTTCTCCCCCATGGCCACTTGGTGTCCACGCCTCTGCTGGCCCCTCAACATCACATCCGCACAGGCGTCCCCCTGACCTTGCCACTCCCTCCCTCTCACCCTGTTCCTTGCTGGTGCCCCTGGGTGAATCCTGCCTCCCACATAGATGGTTTGATTCTGACCCACATGTCCTTCTGCAAGAGGAAGACTCACAGACTGGATGCTACATGAACTGGGGTCTGTCTCCATTTCTCTGCAGTCTCAAGGGCATGGATTATCCTCCCTTCAGAAGCGGATCTCCAAGACAAGACCCTGGTCCACACCCTTAGACTAGATGCCCCAGGGCTGGGATTTTTTCTTCCCCATCAGACTGGGATCTGGAGGACAAGGACCAAGTCCCTTTCTGCTATCAGACAAGAGACTCCAGAACAAGACTGCTTTTGCTCATCTGTAGGGTCCCAAGAGCAAACATCGTGAGACCATGTCCCTACCTCCCCATCAGATGAGTCTCCAGAGCTGGGACCATGTCTCCCACCTCAGACTAGGATCTCCAAGGTAAGGGCCATTTCCCTGCCTCTCCCCCATTGGATCAGATAGTGTCCCGCTCACTTGATTAGGACCCTGAGCCCTACCGGGTCCCTTCCCCCACCCCTGTCAAGGATCAGCCATCATTTCCTGGAGCTCCTGGACACCCTCCCCCAGCAACGTACAGGTGGGTCGCCTGCCCCGTGCAGCCCCACCCTCAGCTACCAAGATGCTTACGTTCTCTGGACTTGTGCTGAGTCAGCCTGCAAAAAAAAAGAGAGAGAAGATTAGATGTGGGTCTCAGCCTCACCTCTGCCCCAGGCCCCCAGCCCTGGCCCCGGGTCCCCTCTCACTGGGCATCCTCGCCCTCCAGCAGGCGGCGGTAGGTGGCGATCTCCTGCTCCAGCCGTGTCTTCACGTCCAGCAGGATCTTGTACTCCTGGCTCTGCTGTCCCATCTCGCAGCGCAGCTGGGCCAGTTGCTCCTCCACGCTGCAGACCAGTCCCTGGATCTGGGACAGCTGCAGGCAGTAGCGGTTCTCTGTCTCCGCCAGGCTGTTCTCCAGAGATGCTTTCTGCAGGAGAGTGGGAGGGGCAGGGGTCAGAAGGGTTCTCAGTGACCCCTCCAGGGACCTGGGCACCTCCCCCACACCCCCCAGGCCTGGCAGCGCCCCTACCATGCTGAGATGGGACTGCAGCTCGATCTCCAGGTTCTGCATGGTGCGCCGGAGCTCTGAGATCTCGCTCTTGCTGCTCTGCACCATCTCGCTGTTGCTGGCCACCTCGCGGTTCAGTTCCTCTGTCTGCAAACAGGACACAGGACGGGGCAGCGTGAGCCCAGCTTCCCTTCTCCAAGTCAGGTGACCCCTGTGGCCTCCATATGCTCAGCCCAGGGCCCACTCTGTGCCCAGACAGGCACCTGGGCTCTCCCCCACTCCCCCGAATACCCCCTCACCATGGCCACCTTCCTGACCTCCCCTGGGCCTCTCAGGCCTCCTCCCAAACCTGACTGTGGGAGCAGTGCCTTCTCACCAGCTTCCCACTTCCCAAAAACCAGAAGCCTTTGAAAGGATGTTAAGTTTTATCTTTAATTCCTGCAAATGTAAAGCACAAGAATAGGAAACTTGAGAACCAGTCAGGACAGTAGCCAGGCCCCTGGTGCTAGTTCCTGACTTCTTGAGGGACAGATGCAAGCTCCTGGGGTCTTGACCCTCTGGCTTTATTCCTGAGGGGGGCTCCCTACCCACCACCAGATCCCAGCTTCAGCCAAGCTCCAGGCCTGTGGATGCAACAGGCGACCCTGACCCCCGGTGTCCGTGTGGCTCACCGGGGATAAGGAACCCAAGATGCCAGGCGCTGGGCTTACTGTGGGGACTCAAGCCTTGCACCCCAGCCCCTGGGGAAGGCCTCTGGCCTGCGGCAGCCCCCACCTTGCTGAAGAACCAGTCTTCGGCATCCTTGCGGTTCTTCTCCGCCATCTTCTCGTACTGTTCACGCATCTCATTCAGGATGCGGCTCAGGTCCACGCTGGGGGCGGCGTCCATCTCCACGCTGATCTCACCACCCACCTGGCCTTGCAGGACTTTCATCTCCTGTGGAGGAGGGGATGGTGGGTGTGGGCATGCATCCTGATCTCTCACTCCCAACCCTTCCCACGCAAGTTCTCCAGACCCCTCCCAAGGACACCTCCTTTGTTCTGCCTGCCCTATACTCTCTGACCCTCTGAATGATTTTTATTCACCTGCTCTATGCGGGCTTTGCCTCCACCATCAGGCTAGGGGTTACCTGAGGACAGATTCTGTGTTTCCCCCATGAGACTGAGGGCTCTCTGAAGATAAAATCTAATTCTTAAGCCTGAGCCCCCAAAACATCCCGTCTAATTTCCAAACTTCTACCTAGGGGCGAGATTCAAGGGTTTGAGCTGGGACAAGGGGGCAACCTCCTCGATTATCTCCTGTCCTGCTGAGGGAAGGCAGGAGGGGCAGAAGAGGCCTCTGCGGGCCCCTGGGAGGCTCCCCAGATGCAGGGAAGCAAGGTAGTACGTGGAGGAGGCTGCCCTGCACGGGGATCAGGGCTCTGCAGACAGAGCAGCGCTGTAAGGCGACCAGCCTGGACACCTGTGCTCTTCCCACAGTCTCAACCTGGCACAGCCCCAGAGCCCTGCCGCCCACTCAGCATCCTCTTTGACCTACTGCCCCAGCTGCCTCACCTCCTCGTGGTTCTTCCGGAGGTAGACCAGGTCCTCCTTGAGGTTCTCGATCTGCATCTCCAGGTCGGCTCTGGCCAGGGTCAGCTCGTCCAGCACCCTGCGCAAGCCATTGATGTCGGTCTCCACGCTCACGCGCAGGGCCTGCTCCGTCTCGAACCTGCGAAGGGAACCAGAGACTTCGTCAAGATGCTTGGACTGGCAGGTGCAGGTTCTGGCCAGCACCCTGACTCCGAACGATGAGGGGGTGGAGTAGAAGCCCATCGCAGCCCTGGGAGCTTGGGACCACGCAGGGCAAGGCCCCACCCCCACCCTGCTTCCTGGCTTCTCTCCCCTCTTCCTCCCGCCTCCCTTCTCGCTCTTCCATCACCTGACTACAGCATCTGCTGTGTTTGCTGCATCCTGGGCTAAGAGGTGCAGGACTCTTCGCAGGGACACCCCACCCCCAGCTCCTGGACCTTGCCACCAGCAACTGAGGAGTCCTGGGGTAGGGAGGGGTGCCCCCAGTTCCTCCCCAGCACCCTCTGGCCAGAGCTCACTTGGTACGGAAGTCATCAGCAGCCAGACGGGTGTTGTCGATCTGCAGCAGGACGTTGGCATTGTCTGTGGTGGCCATGAGGATCTGGGAAGATGGGAGAGTAATCAGGTCACTGGGTGGGAGTAGCTCAGCACAGACCAGGGTTCTGAGGTGGGTCTCTCTGTCTGGGGGCCAGGATGCGGCTGCCTCCTCCAGGAAGGCTCCCTTCCCACCCAGCCATTCCCCTTTACTGCATTACAGTTGGTAAGAGAGGCGGGGCCAGCCTGAGTCTGATGGCTGAAACCTTGCCCCCCTCCCCCATGCCAGGCTCTGCCTTAAACCAGAGTGGACAGCCATCCGGGAGTGCCAGGCTGGAAATGCAGGAGAGCAAGAAAAGAATGGGAGGATGCCCCGGGGCAGAAGCTGTTCCCAAGTCCTGGAAAGAGGACAGATATGGGAAACCTCATTTTACAGCTGGGGATATAGTGTCCCTGAGAGGCTCCCCCAAAAAGGAAGACTAAAGGAATCCTCACCAAAGAGCAGTTCCAAATCAGAAGTCCTGACCCCTGCTAAGTCCTGACCCCGGGCTCCAGCAGGCAGCCCCGGCCCCACCCCAGGTTTGCTGAGCCCCAGTCTTGAGGGCGCAGCAGGAGAGATGGGGAAGCCAGAAAAGTCCCCAAATAAGGCACACAAGTGGCCTCCTGAGGTCCCGCCCCCTCTCTCTCACCTCCTCCTCCTAGCAGGTGCCAGCAGGAGCTCACCCAGACCCCTGACCCCACCATAGCCCTAAATCCCCCTCTTGTTCCAAGGAAAGAGGTGCCTGAGTATCCAGCGACCCCAGGGACCCAGCCCTCCACAGGTATCCATTCATCTTATCCTACAATCACACAAGGTGGCAAAAAGCTCCATGATGGGAAACTGAGGCTCAAAGGAGCTCCACAAGGCCTGCTTGTCCCTAGCCCAGGCCGCTGCCCCAAAAAAGAGACCATAGGCCACAAGGTGGCCCCAAATGGGCTCCCAGAAGCCAAGCTGGATCCAAGCTGTCCTTAGTTCCCCAAGACCCTGTGGCAGCCCCCAGGCTGGACTCCAGGCCTTGGTCAAGGGCAGGAGGTAGGGGAGTAAAAGCTGTGCCCCGCCAGGTCCCCTCCCACCGTAGCTCCTACCTTGTTCCTCAGGTCCTCGATGGTCTTGAAGTAGGAGCTGTAGTCGGAAGTCGGCCCTGGGGTCTGCTTCTGGTACCAGTCGCGGATCTTCACCTCCAGGTCAGTGTTGGCCTCCTCCAGGGCGCGCACCTTCTCCAGGTAGGAGGCCAGGCGGTCGTTGAGGTTCTGCATGGTGGCCTTCTCGCTGCCCCCCAGCAGCCCATCACCACCTCCAAAGCCACCGCCACCAGTGCCAACGCTGCCGCTGCCATAGCCACCGCCGCCGTAGCCGCCGCTGCCATAGCCACCGCTGCCGTAGTCGCCGCCGCCGTAGCCGCCTCTGCCGTAGCCGCCTCCAGAGCCGAAGCAGTAGCCGCCAGAGTAGCTGCCGCCCCCAAGGGCATTGCCCAGGCTGCCAGACAGCTGGCAGGAGGTGAGGGACGAGCTGCCCCCCAGGCCAGAGGAGCCCCTGATGGAGTTGGAGGAGGAGAACTGCCGGTTGCTGGTGGTCATGGTGGCGGCAGCGGGTGGCAGGCAGACACGGAGAGAGAGCGCTCGAGAGGAGAGAGGCCCAAGGCGTGTGTTGCTGCCGGGGCTCGCCCGCCTCCTTTATAGGCCCCAACAAATGGGCGTAACGATTACAACAAGTTCGCTCCTCTGTTCCCATTCCCCTGGGCTTTCATCACCGCTGGCTGCCCGCCAGCTCCCAGGTGGCTGTGGGTCCCCTTCCCTCCCACCGTCGGGCCTTTGCATCATTTCTCCGAACCCCCATGCTGGGTGTCTGCTTGTGTGTATGTGTGTGTCCCTGGTCTCAGGCCTGTCACCTGTAATTCAGGCAGGCCCTTCAGCTACGCTTTCCCATGACCTGATACGGACAAGAGGAATAAGCAGGACATGACCGTCACTGAGCCCTCCCAGGCAGCTGCCCCCGGCCACACACCACACCACACACCACGCCACACACGATCCTGGCCCTGGGCGAGGTGCAGGGGAGACAGCGAGGACCGGTACCCCATCCTGCCTTGGAAACTAGACCCAAACCTACCAGCCTCACCACACAGTAGCTCGGTCAGGTCTCAGATTACCACCCCATTTACAGATAAGGAAACTGGGGCTTGTAGAGGCAAAGTGTCCCACCGCCCCACCTAACTCAGAACGGGCTGGCAGGGCTTCTTCCTTCATCGCACCCTGCCACAGCACCTATATGCCTCCCCAGGGGCCTGTGACACACTGGCCCCCTTCTGCAGAGCCCTGACACCAAGGAAGCACTGCAGGGGCCGCGGTTCCCTCTGTCCAGTTTTCTGACCCTGTCCCCATCCCTGGAACCCCCTGGAGACCCAGCGTCCTTTTCTGACCTTTCCCCATCTCTCTCTCTCACAAGTGGGAAGTCCTGGGCTGGAGTGGGCAAAGGGGAGCTTAGCTGCAGGCTGGGGAAGTGGCAGGCTGAGAGGGGGCATCGTGGTAAAGGCAAGAGGAAGAAGGGTGAGGGGCACGCCCCTTCCACCTTCCTCACCCCTCCTATTCCCCAAGAGGCCTCAGGCAGGGGGCATATACCTTTGGGTCCCAGCCAGCTGGAAAACTAAAGGACACTGCCCAAGATGAGGGTCTTCCTGAGACCCCGGCCCTGGCCAGTCCCCTCCCCTACTCCCCCCCTCCCCTCCCCTCCCCTCCCCTGCAGTCTCCCCCAGGGGCCCCACCCAATCCCCTGACCTGGCCCCTCAGGATGGGCCAGGTGCCCGCCCCACAGCCCCACCCTGCCCTGCCCACCACCCTCAGTTCCAGGGTCCCAGCAGGCCCAGTGGGCGGAATGTGCTCATGTCTCAGACTGCCAATGGCTTCCACTTCCCAGACAGGCCCAGACAGCCTCTGCCAGTAGCCGAGAGAGATTCCCCAAGAGCCCAGCAGCTGCTAAGCCACCAAAGCAAGGAGGACGCCCCCCGACCCATGCTCACATGCAGAGGGGCCACCCCACCCCACACACCCACAAGCCCAACAGAGCCGGTCTGGTTTCCTGGACTGGCCGTGCCACTGCCATCCCTTGCACGCTTCAGCACCCTGGACCACCTCTCCAGAAAGCCCCCTGCCCAGCCCCTCTCCCTCCGATCTTGACCTCGTACTGCCCCAGGCTGAGACAGGGAGCTGTCTATAACAGGTGTGGCTCCCCGGAAAGTCTATGGGGCCCTCCCAGGGACCAGCCACAGGCAATGGGGACCCAGGGGCTGATTCTCAGGAACTTTCCCAACCTGATGGGCTGTCCCATCCCTCAGCCCTCAAGCCTCCCGTCTCCCTCCTTTGAGCCCCAGGCCCGGATGGGGTGGGCAGAACAGGTTGGCAGGGGACAAGCAGCCCCAAACCCTCAGCAGACTCTCCTTGTCCCCCCATCCCTCAGCCCACACTGCCCAAGCCAATGACCAGACCAAACCACAGGAGGCATTGCAGTCACTGGGGCAAACTCAGGAGGTCCCCTTGGTGAGGGGCTGTGGGAAGCAGATAAAGAAAGGCAACCGCTCTTGGGCGGTGGCCCAGACGGGCACTTGGGGCACGGCAGTAGTGTGTTGGGAGCTGCAGGCAATGGCTGCCCCTTGACCCTGGAGGCTGGGCTGTCGCAGGTAGATGGGGCCTCAGTGGGGGGAGCGATGGACCTGCTCACGGGAGGGGACCACCTTGCCATCCTGGACTTCCTCTACAATGGTACGCACCTGGCTGGTGGTCACCACGGCTACGGGCAGAGGAGGAGGGAGGCACAAGGAACCTCAGGCTGGAGGCCCTCCCCAAGCCTCCCACAAAGAAGGGTCCTCAGCCTCTCCCCACCTGCCCTGGGCAGGACGGGGCAGGCTCTTACCTTCCCGGGTGGGCTGAGAGACCAAGGACAAGGAGCACTGGGTGGCCAGGCTGCAGGGAAAGGGGGACCTGTCAGCCCAGTGGTGTTGGTTGGGAGCCCAGCCCCCAGGGAGGAGGAGCAGCTGGGGAGGCCCCGGCCGAGGGGAGACAGGTCCCAGCAAATCGGACAGAAATCACAGCAGGGAGTATATGCCAAAGAATGGCAACCACAGGGTCAAAGGGCACAGGCCCAGTGGGCAGAAGTGAGGAAAGGGGATACCCCAACAGAAGGCCCAGAGGCACTTTGCGGCCAACCAGGAATTTACAAGGAGAAGCTGAGCAAGTGGTTTCTCCATATCCTGAAGGGCCCAACAAATAAACTTAATTAAAGCAGGAGAGACTGTGGCTAGACTATAGATAGACTTAGCCATCGTCATAGAGCAAAAAGCTGGAATGTGTGACTAAGCATGGAGACTCCAGAACATCCTCGGCCCCTTTACACTGGGGCCCCATCACCCACCCAACTCCAAACCAGATCGCCACCCACCCCAGACAATGGGATCACTAACCACGCAATCACTGGAAACAGAAAGCCAGGATCATTATTAACCACTTCATGTGCTAACGCAAACGTTCATTGAGTCCCGCCTGCAAGCCACGCTCGCCCCCGCGTTCAGGCATCCAGTCCTGCTGTTTTTAGCTATAACACATCCTCTTGGTGCAACATCTCCCCTTCCCTGCCCTTCGCCTGCCTTATGGCAGGTCTTCTCTAGCCTAACGACCTTGCTCCAGCTTCCTGACTGGTCTCCCTGACCCCACCCTCGCCCCTCGGATGCATTTCTCCCTCTGCAGCCAGAGTGAATGTTCTGAGATGTCTTGATGACCATACTTCTCTCTGCACAAAAGCCCCCGTGACTCCCCACTGCCTACTCCATCAAGTGGGACCCCAGGCAGTGTCCTCAGCTTCACCTCCTGCGAATCTCCACACCTCCTCCTGCCTCGGCGGGTGCTGGCCCTCCCTGGGTGAAGCCACCCAGACCACCGAGCAGGTGCAGGGCGCCCTCCACTCACTGGGCGTCCTGGCCCTCCAGCAGGCGGCGGTAGGTGGCGATCTCCTGCTCCAGCCGAGTCTTGTACTCCTTGTTCTGCCGCTCCATCTTGCAGCAGAGCTCGCTCAGCTGGGCCTCGATGCTGCTGCTAAGCCCCTGCAGCTGGGCCAGCTGGGCCCCGTAGCGCGCCTCGGTCTCTGCCAGGCTGCCCTCCAGCGACACTTTCTGTGGGTCAAGGTGGAGGTGGCTGGGGAGACCGAGCCCCCAGAAGGGGGCCCCACGCGTGTGGGTTTGCGGGTGGGGCAGTAAGTGGGGCAGAGTGTGCAGTGGCAGGCGGGGCAGGCAGTCTCTGGTTCTCCAAGTGGGGGTCCAGGAGTGACGGGTACAGGACAAGGAGGGGACAGAGGCCCTACCACGCTGAGCTGGGACTGCAGCTCGATCTCCAGGTTCTGCACGGTGCGGCGTGGCTCCATGATCTCTGCCCAGCTGCTCGGCAGGGCCTCGGTGTTGGTGGCCACCTCGCGGTTCAGCTCCTCCGTCTGGAAGGCAGGACGGGCCCTAGGGGCTTGCGGAGGCTTGCAGAGGTGGGGCAGGGGCCTGACCTCCTAGACCTGCCGCTCCCCGGCCTCTGCAGGGCCCCAAGCCCACCTGCACATCCTGGAACTTGTAGCATTCACCTTGCTCTGTGGTCGTTTGTTTCCTTACTGGACTGCAGGTACCACTCTAGGGCAGGCCCTGGGTTTTACTCTTTTTGTGCCTGTCACTGTCCGGGCACTGCAGCTGCTCAGTGCATGCTTACTGGGGGCATGAGAGTCTGCATCCAAACACACACCTACCTATGAATGCCCGGGCTGGGAGAACCCTAGTGGGATCAGGAGACCTGGATCTGCTCCCCAGGCCACAGTGAAGGGTTGTGTGAGCGTAAGGCCTCTCTGAGCCTCACGATGTCCCCCTGAACGTGAGGGGTTGGTCCCCTGGTTTCCAAAGGTCCTTCCAGCTGGGAATCCACAGCCTATGGATCTGTAAGTTTTCCGACATGTGCTCAGCACACGGCGCGTGCACGCACACGTGTGCACACCTGCTCACGCAGGCCACCCACCTTGCTGAAGAACCAGTCCTCGGCGTCCTTGCAGTTCTTCTCCGTGATCTTCTCGTATTGGTCGTGCATCTCATTCAGGATGTGGCCCAGGTCCACAGCGGGGGCGGCGTCCATCTCCACGTTGATCTCACCACCCACCTGGCCTCGCAGGGCATTCACTTCCTGGGCAGACAGCTAAGCAGGAGCTCACTCAGGGCCATCCTGGAAAGAGTCCCTGGAGCTGCATTCTCTGTCTGGGGGAGATGGGTGCAGAGGACAGACAGACACAGACAGGCCAACAGCTCCTCACCCTGAAGGTGGAGGTGGATGTCATCATGTCTCAAACATGCAGGGCTGTGGATATCAACAATCTCCCCCAACACACACTCGCGGGGTGGACTTTGCCCAGTCCCGGTGTGTGCTGGGCCAGGAGAGATGGCAACTCCCAGTCATGGTGGGGGATGAGCCAGGACAACCTCACTCCAGCCCTGACCACCCGCCTCACCCCCCATCACCAACCACGCAGCACGGGCATGGGGAAAGCAGCCCCCTGTCGGTATTGGGGGAGTCAGACCTCACTAGGAAATGTGAATCTGCTGGGGGATGCAATCCCTATAACCAGCCTCAAAGCCAAGTAGAGACATTTTCTGGGCTCCTGCTACTCGGGCATTAGGCTCCCTCAGCTCAGGCCAGCCCAGAAGTCGGATGGGAAGGAAGCCACAAGGTTCACTAGTCCCCCTGCAGGGTCTTGGATCCCTATCCTTGGGTTGAGCCTTGGGGTCCCTGGGAGATGGGAGAAGTGGCAGAGTGCTATAGTCAGGCTTGGGTGTGGATATGGCTCAGGCAGACCTGAGGGAAGACCCACCCCTGTACAGCCTTGGACAAATTCCTTAACCTCTCTGAGCCTCGGTTTCTTCACTCGTAAAGAGAAGAACTTGCTCCTTTCTCCCAGTGAGGCTGTCGGTACCAGCTGAGATATTTGCTGTGAAACACTCATAATGGGCTGGGCAGGTGTTTGTGGTTGTTGTGACTATCACTATCACAATTAACTATAATAATTAGCCTGCGTGCTCTTAGACTGAGTCACCCACTAGATAGTTAATAGCCACCACACGGTAGGCAGTGCCTCGAGGGACAGAGAAGTATCTCTGGGGGGAAAGGGCCCTCCAGGCCTCAACCAGGGCCCAATGAGAGTCTCCCAGGGTCAGAGCCAGGAACCCACCAGAGATGGGAACTGGATGGAGAGCGTGGCCCTGGCCCAGGAAGATTTGGGGGCCCCGGCCTTGCTTGTTCTCAGGCAAGTTTCTCCTGCATTCCCGAGCTGGCCTCACCTCCTCATGGTCCTTCCGGAGGTAGGCCAGCTCCTGCTTGAGGTTCTCAATCTCATCTCCAGGTCGGCTCTGGCCAGGGTCAGCTCGTCCAGCACCCTGCGCAAGCCGTTGATGTCGGCCTCCAGGCTCATGCGCAGGTTCAGCTCCATCTCATACCTTAGCGGTGGAGCGGGGGAGGCAGGGAAGCCTGAGCCATGGAGTGCCATTAGGACACCCTCGTACACACAGAGAGCCAGACCCCCACCAGCCCCCTGAGCTGTCCCCAAGGCCCAGACTCACTTGGTACGGAAGTCATCGGCTGCCAGGTGGGCATTGTCAATCTGCAGCACCAAGTTGGCATTGTTGATGGTGGCCGCCAGGATCGGAGGGACACAGTGGGCTTGGTGAGCAAGCGCCCTGGGCAGCCACAGGAAGACCTTGCAACACCCCTCCTGCAGCCCTTTGGAGAGCGGGCCAGAGTGAGGGAGATGAGGGTCCCTGTGGTCTCCTCCTCTGAGCACCCTGCTGGGGGGCTCACAAGGGGTGGGGGCATGATACCCAGGCACAGGTAACCATGGTGCCAGGAAAGAGACCCATATGCACCCCTCTCCCACCATGAGGGTCACTGCCCAAGCTGCCTGGACCTCACTCCATCTTTCCCCAATTAAATTCACCTCTAGGGCTTCCCTGGTGGCTCAGTAGTTAAGAATCCACCTGCCAATGCAAGGGACACGGTTTTGAGCCCTGGTCCAGGAAGATCCCACGTGCCACAGAGCAACTAAGCCCGTGAGCCACAACTACTGAGCCTGCACTCTAGAGCCTGCAAGACACAACTACTGAGCCCACGTGCCACAATTACTGAAGCCCATGCGCCTAGAGCCTGTGCTCCGCAACAAGAGAAGCCACCACAACGAGAAGCCCGCCCACCCCAAAAGAGTAGCCCCAGCTCACCGCAACTAGAGAAAGCTGGCGCACAGCAACGAAGACCCAACACAGCCAAAAAACTAAATAATTAATTAATTAATTAATTAAATTAAATTAAATTAATTCACCTCTAGGTTCAGTTGCCACCTCCTCCAGGAAGCCCTCTTTGATTCCCCGTCTGGATCTTTCTTCCCCATCATACCTCCCCTCGGCCCATCTCTCTTACACAGTACTTCTCCCAAGTGCAACATTTTTCTGTGACTTTTTTGTGTGTTTTTTTCTCTCCTCCACTGGACTCTGAGCTCCAGAGGAACAAGGCCCTGTCCCATGTCTGTCTCCTTCAGTTTGGAATCCCCAGCCCTGAGTACAGTGCCTGGCCGAGAGTCAGCCCCCAGGAAACATTAGTTTAATTAAACGATTAATTAAATAATTGATAATATTATGGCTGGCCCCACGTCAAACCTAGGGCAAGGTTTTCTTTTCCCACAGGGTCATCTGGGAGGTTTAAAAGACAACAGGGAAGGGAGAGGCTCTGGAAGGAGCAGAGGGTTGGTTATTATTACTGCTGCTGTCATTATTGTTGGGAGAAATACCTAAGAGAGGCTCTAGTCAAAGGCCATGGGGCTGGGGGGAGGGGGAGGCCCCTCCACACTGCCCAGAGGAAGCAGAGAGGAGGTCGCGGTGGAGGCGGCAGATGAGCTGAGTAGAATCTGGAGTTTTTTAAGGTTGAGGGCTGAAGTATAAAGCTGTAAGAGGGGGCAGCCCCAGTAAACTCATCCTGGGCCTCAGAACCCGCTCGTGGCCCTAAGTTCTGAAAAGGCACCCTGAGTCAGGCTCCGCTTCCAGACTGAACCCAAGAGCCAGTCTGACTGAACCCGCCCCAGGGCCTCACTAGGCCCGTCGGCAACCTGCAGACCAGGCCCCCATCCGCCGCCCCGCTCTGGAGGCTGATTGGGTCCAGCGAGGGGGCAGTGGTAAAAAACCGCCGAGGAGCAGTGACTCGGAGGCCTGGTGCGCAGTGCACTGGGGGATGGCGGTGAGGAGCTGGCTGACCCCGAAGCTCAGGAGCACTGACTCACCAGGGCTCCCCTGAGTTCCCTGCTGCCCAGATCAAGCCCAGTATCTGATCTGGCACTCCCAGTAGCTCTGCTTCCAGTGGGCAATTGCAGGAGTTCCCTTCCGGGCCTGGGTCCCGGGCAGGAGCAGGCAAAGCCCCTCGCAGGGCAGCAGGCCTGCTTCTCCACCAGGAAACTGAGTGGGCTGACCCCGGGCCAGCCAGCCCCAAGTCCGGCTCTCACCGAGCCCAGCTTTTGCACCTCTTTGACCTCTCTCCTGCCTCTGGAGGCTGCACCCCTGTAGGTCCCTCCAGGGGCAAGGTTGCGCAGAAGACCCAGGTGCCGTGTTTACAGAATGCCAAGGTCACGTTCACAGAGATCATAGTGTGTGTGTGTGTGTGTGCGTGTGTGTGTGTGTGTGTGTGTGTGTTGCCTCCTCCATCAGACTAAGTTAGAGAAATATCTCCCCTTGGAAGCTTCCAGTCTGAGTGGGAAGACACAGCTCCTTTCCTCAGGGACCACCCCGCCAATCTGCATCTGCAAGCAGAGACAGCCTCCGCCCTTGGGGACCCCCAGACTGACCATCATGGAAGGAGTGAGGAGGACCAACAATGAAAGTAGCTGTGAGAACATGTCAGACTCAGTGAAGTCAGCCCAATGAACAGAGCATAGACTGAACCTCAAAGTGCAGAAGGGACCCCCAGATCCAAGGATAAAAGGCAAGTGCCGTGCATCCAGGAGGACTGCCTGGAGGAGGTGAGGCAGGCGGGGGGTGGGGCAAACTCAAAGGGGAATGGGATAGTGAGAAGGAGACATTGAGCCTCATCTCCCAGCAGCCGCACCAAACTCATTCCCACACCTATGCCTTTGTCCACACTGATCTCTATACCTGGAATGCCATCTGCTGCCCTCAATCAAGGTTCTGAAGCCTTGCCTGCCCACTCCTCTATCACTCACCCCAAATACCCTCCCCCAGAAAGGAGGAACTCCAAACAGCCTCCCAACGTGGGATGTCCTCCAGGCCTGGGACCAGTGACTGGTAGAGGGCTGGGTTCCAGAGCAAGTGAGAGAGTGAGTGAATGAATGAATGGGTGAGGGATGGAGACCTAGGCTGGAGGAGAAATGTTAGCAAAGGTCCAAAGTTGGGATGGTATGAGTTAGAAGCAGGTACTAAGGACAGAGGGCAGGGAGCGCCCACCTTGCTCCACAGGTCCTCGATGGTCTTGACGTAGTGGCTGTAGTCGAGGGCGGGCCTGGAGCCCTGCTTCTTGTACCAGTCGTGGATCTTCACCTCCAGGTCGGCATTAGCTCCTCCAGAGCACGCACCTTGCCCAGGTAGGAGGCCAGGCGGTCGCTGAGGTTCTGCATGGTCTCCTTCTCGCTGCCCCCCAGCAGGGCGTCTGCCACTCCAAAGCTGGAGCCAAAGCCCCCACCCAGGCTGCAGGAGCAGCCCCTGCCATAGCTGCCCCCCGCGCCCACGGAGAAGCGGGACGAGGACACAGACATGTTGCCAGAGCTGCTGGCTCCCAGGAGGCTGGGGGGCCGGCAGGCACCCCCAACACGGATGGAAGACATCGAGAGAAACCCCCACCACCGGGCACACACAGGCCCTTGACGGAGCCGGAAGTGGAAAGCCGGTGGATGCTGGTGGTGGGGGCGACCATGGTGTCCACAAGCCAGGCGCAGGGTCTGGTTTGCACAGAGGCCCCAGGTAGCCCTTTATAGCCCTTTATAGCCAGGCTAAAGGGCAGCTGGGCCCCTGGCTCTTTAAGTCAGAGCCAAAAGCCCAGCCTCTGTACCAGGCGCCCAGGGCTCAAGCTGGACACACCGAGGGCATCCCGAGCCTGGCCTGAGCACAATGGCTTCTTAGCAGCCCATCGTCTGTTAGAAACAAAGGTGGTATTGGAGCCGCAACCCCGGGGTAGGGTGATTCTCTACTCTCAGCCACAATTAGGTGACTGAGCTCGTTCCCGGGGGGGTCCGGAGAACCCAGCCCTGGGAGCCAGAAAGGGCCTGGAACAAGGCTCCACAGGCCCAGAGCTGGGGCTGGTCTGGCCCCCCACCCAGCATTCTTGGGTCCCAGGGAGAGGGTGGAGAGATGCGGGGGACACCCTCCCCTACCGCGTACAGTGTGGCCCTGAGGGAGCCCCCCAGGTCTCTTGGGATTATTCCAAGTCTGTGGGAGGAGACGTAGCCCCTGGCCTGGGGGCTGCCCTATCTGAGGGGAATAGTCACAGCCCCTGACCTGAGGGCGCTTTGGATCCAAACCTTTCAGGAAGTCAGTTCAAGAGCCTCAGTTGCCTCATTTGCAAAATGGGGGTAATTCCTGCCTCCCAGGGTCTTTGAGGGAATCTGGAGAGATGGTTGACATCAGTCAAGCTGGGGCTGAGGGGGAGAAGGAAGCAGAGGGTTAGGGTGACCACTCCTCCTCACACACACACACACCCGCCGCAGTACCTGAGGGAAGACACTCCCAAGGGGCCCTCAGAGGAGACGGGAGCACAGGAGAAGCAGGACCTGTGCAGCGGGTACCCCTCCACGGAGACGCGCCCTGGGGAAGTGTGGCCTCTGCGAGGACAAAGCACAATCCCACACCCTGGCGGCTGGCACCCGCCCACGCCCAGCCAGGAGATTACCAGCCTTAATTGCTTCTGTGCTAATGATTTATGTGCTGCCAGTACCCCAGCGTCTGCACCGGGCCTGTCTGAATGGGGAGCTTCCAGGGACCGGGAGGCCTTCGGGCCAGGCAGGGGCGGAGAGAGACTCGTGGGTGGCCTGGGCTCTCTCGGCCCACACACGGGGAAAGAAAGTGAGTGCCCGCACACGCAAGGGTGTCTCCTTGCTTGGAGAGTGGGGGCTCCACGAGCTACTGTGAGAGAGGGGACAACCTGACTGACTTCGTCCTGCTCCCACCCCGCCTGTAAAGTCTGGGGGTTCTCAGGGTTCCTGGGGGCACGGAGGGGGCTCAAGGTCAAGGCTAGGGAGCGAGGTCAGAACACCGGGGCTCTTCCATGAGGCCAGACACCAGGGAGGACTTCCTCCTACTCCGGGACAGTCTTGGGGAAGGGAACCAAGAGAACCTGGGGTCACCTGAATGGGTCAGAGGCCAGCCTTGCACCACCCACTCACCTTCACAGGGAATGAGCTTCCCCCTTCCCACTGGAGCCACTCTCCCAGGAAGCCCCCTCCCCCAGAAGCTGACTGATCTCCTCCCTCCAGACAGGCCTCACTCAGTTCAGAGAAGTGAATTCGGAGCAGAGCCAGGGGCCTGGGGAGGGGGCCAGGCCACAGGGCACCACTCACCCTCTGCCTCTCTCAGAGCCTGCATCCCAGCCCGCACCCCACCTCCAAAGCCCTTAGTCTTGAGGCCCAGTTTGAAGGGGCAGAGAGTTTACTAACCTTCCTTTCTCCCTCCAAAATCACCAAGGTCCCACCATCCCCCCATCACTTCCATTTGCCACCCCCCGATGTCAGGCTGTGTGTCAAGGTCTGGGCCTCGGTAGCTCCACACCATTGATCCCCCAGACCCTTTGCCTCGGGCCTTTGGAGACTCTGCCACCTCTGAAGCCCCTCCAGCACCTCGGCCCAGAGAGGCCTCACCTGCTGCTGAAGGGCAGGCCTGGCTCAACCCCTCTCCCCAGGTGAAAGGACAGGGTCAGAGCCGGGAAGGCCTCCCTGGCCCTCTGGAAAGTGTGGCCACCCTTGGCGGGCCTAAGAAGAGCCCGGACACTCCTCCCTCACCGCTCAGAACAGCCCTGGCCAGATCCTGCCAACGACGCCACGCGGAAACCGAGGCCCAGGGTGCCGGAGCGGCAGGGCAGCCGGGCGCTAGCAGCCGAGCCCGGCCTGAAGCGGGGCCCCAGCAGCGCCCACTCCCCCTGCCAGGGGAGGAAGGCCTGGCAGGAGCCGGTCGGAGGTATATGCCAAGGTCCTCTCGGCTGTGAATTCTCCTGCCCGGGCCTGTCCTCCACCCCCGGCAGCCAGAGGGGCAGCGCCAGGCCCACAGCCCTCACAGTTGTCAGCAGCTCGGCCCACAAGGAGGAGGAGAGGAAAAGGAGGCGATCCAGCCCCACAGCCTGCCGGGGGTCCAGCACGGGGGGCAGGGGACAGGAGGAGGAGGCCCCAGGGAGACGGCTGGGACAACTCCCAGCATCCCCCAGTGAGTGTCTCCAGCCAGCCCCAGCCTTGCCCAACCCCACAGGCCCTGGATCTCCTCGCTAGGGGCTGCCGAACGGCCGGCGTGCTCTCGGGTTGACTAGGACAGACCCTGTGTCAGATTTGGGCAGGACTATAGGGTGTGGGGGGAGAGTCTCCAGGACCGTACCCACCCTACGAGGTTGATGGAAGGCGCAAGGTGCAGGGTGGCCTGGGGGCCCCCGAATACACTTGATGTTCGATAGATGCGTATCGATGTTGACAAAGGTCTCGCCACATCGGCCCAGTCGACCTTGGCTCCTACACAGGCCCCCCGAGCATTAACTGTCACCTTCCTAGGACAGTGCCCACCACCACCCAGAACCCAGGGCACGGCAGGTATGCAGCAGGTGCTCGCTGCGTCCTTAGGAGCAGGGAGCCTGGGCCATGACTGGGGCGGAGACAGGGGCCCAGGAAGGGAGTATGTGGCTACCTCTACCCTCCCCCCAAGGGAAAGGGTCCCTATCAGGTGAGGTCAGGAAAGTGAGAGGCCCAGGATGTGGGGGTGGGCTCCCAGCTGGGACCTTGGCTTGGCTGGTGAGGAGAGGACCCCAAACCCTTCAGGGGCCCCAAAGACTGGACCCCACCCCCAGACCCTGCCACTAGGGCCTGTCAGCTCCTTTCCTCACAGACACATAGTCCCTCTCACCTGCAGGCACCTTGCCCAGGATAGGTCACCAAGGAGCTCACGGGTGCTCCTCCCTTTACCTCAGCCCTGAAGACTCCTCACCCCTTGCCAAAGGCACCCTCACCCGCCACACCTGCCCTCAGGTGGAATCCTCTTCCTCTATTCTGTTTCCTCAGCCTCTGTCCTGAGGCCCCAGGGCCGCCCCGCCCAGATCCACCCACTAATGATTTACGGCTGACTCCAAAGAAGGCCCCACCCTCCGCCTCGGGGCGGGGCGGGGCTTGCGGGAGGCGTGGAGCGGTCCTGGCTGCCGCCTCCCGGGAGGCACGATTAAGAGTCAGAGGCGGGACGTCCTGCAGTGCCCCCTGAACTCCAGGGGTCCCCAGCTGCTCCCTTCCCCACACAAGCACACGCAGCCACCTCCCAGTAGCTGGCTTCCGGGAAACATGGGCCTGGGGTGGACCCAAGACGGGATTCGGCCGCCCGGGGAAAGCCCGCCCCCCCGGACAGAGCCACATCAGCTGTCCAGGGCCCCGCCCCAGAAAGGGCCCGGCGGTCCCAGGGTCGCCATGGGACCCAGGACAGGAGGAGAGGGCAAGGGAGGGCCTAGAACCAGCAGGAACGGGTGGGGAGGAGGTCTGGGAAGGGGAGCCCAGGCCTTCCAGCGAGGGAGGGAACCCTTGCTTCTTCCCAAGGCTAGAAGACTCCAGCTTAACAGGACCAGCTGCTCCCCTCTGCCTCTCCCTCCCTTCCCCCTTCCTTGGCCTCAGGGAGTTATGGGGGAGGAAGAGAGGGCAGGTGGGCCCCCTTTCGGACCTGGGGCTCACCCCCTCCCCTTTGCCCTGCAGGCTGATGGGGCACTGAGGGCCTGGGGGAACCGAGTCAGAAACCCCAGCCTCCCAGGCCCCTGGGCCCTGCCCCACCTGCCCACTCTGCTGTTCGCCCTCCATGCCCTGCGAGGCTGGTTGCTCTCCGTTAATTCACCCTCATTTGTCCCTGTTCTTCGATGCTCTTGAGTGATTTCCTCCAGGGACATGTGTGGCCCGGGCTCCCCGAGAGAGAGGCTTTGTCTCTCCCCTCAGAGTGGAGGCTTCCTAGGATAGAAGCTGTATCTCCCCACTCAGACTGGGAGCTCGCTGGGGGTGGAGGCCGTGTCTCCCCCGTGTGAGCCTGGGGATGCTCTGAGCATGGCCTGCCTCCTTCCTTCACCTGACAGCGCCGGCAGGAAGGGGCGCTCTTGGCTTTTTGACAGCCCAGCCCACCACAGGATGGGATCATCCTGTCCCCAACCAACAGGGGAGCACGCCTGTGCAGAGGCCCGGGCTCCACGGAATACTCCGCCCCACCCCCGGCCCCCCACCTGCTCCCCCCCATTAAACCCGGCCTCATCCCTGAAGCTGCCCCAACCTGGCAGTTTCACAGCCCCCTTGTCCCTGCCTCTGCCTCAGAACCCGGGCCCTGGGCCTTGTTAGTTAACATTTCAGGTGTGATACACTTTCTCCAGCAAGGTTTTGTGGGGGGAACCACAGCCCCTGATCTTCACAACCCCCATCGTGAAGCATGTTATCTGTGATCACAACTCCGCACCTCATGAAAAGAGCTCAGAAGGCCAAGTGCAAGAGCCTGGGTCAATGTGGACCCTGCTGTGGACAAGTCATATCCCTTCTCTTAGCCGCATCTGCAAAATGAGGCTACTCGGCTTCCATGACAAACTCTTTGTGAGGCTTACGTGAGATAGCTTGTCACAGCAGCTGGCCCCAGTCCTTGTGCACACTAGAGATTCGGGGGAAGGATCAATGACTCCAATGATGGCTAGGTGAAGGCCCCTCGGGGTGAGATGTAACCCTTCCCTCCCCGTGCTCGGCAGACTCAGGTCCTTATCCCCTTATATGGCAAAAGGGACTTTGCAGGTGTGACTAAATCGAGGGATTTGCAATGGGGAGATTATTCTGGATTATCTGG